TTGTTCTTTTTTTTTTCTTTTTTTTAATGGAGATATAAGGAAGATTATATTCAAATTTTAAGCCTGAGAGTGTAAATTCCGTCTATCTAGAGGTGCCATAATCACAAATTTTCTTACCCCAACCATGGTGGGACTGTGGTGGTATAGATTCTCCATCTGCTGAAGTAACCAGTGGCAGATTCAAGGGGACCCAGCCGCCCCACCCTACCCCTTAAATTGTTCAATAAAAAAATAGAGATATAAAGATAATACATTCAAATTTTATGTCTGGAAGTGCAATTTCTGCCCATCTAGGTGTCATAATCACAAATGTTCTTCCCTCAGCCCCAACCATGGTGGGGCTGAGGTAGTATAGATCTTCTATCTGTGAAAATACCCTCCCTGGGCCCTTCTATTTCGAATTCCTGGATCGGCCACTAAATTACAACAAATATGAAATCATATTACAGTAGCTTGATGCCTATAAAATACCGGTAACTTATAACAATTCACCAAACTTCGTAAAATATCTGTAGCTTCCCCACCGGGGGCCCTTGGCGGCCCCCTTATCCCCAGCCTAGATGCTCGCTTCGCTCGCATACTGGACCTTATGAAGTGCCCCCCCCCCCACTTTCAAAAATGCTCCGCCGCCGTTGATCAATATCAACATTGTTGAATTCAGGGCCGGCGGAACGTTTTTCAAAGTGCGGGTTGGGGGGGGCCACTTATAAGATGAATGGGAACATAAAATCATGCAGATCTGGAATCATATCTAGGGGGTCTGATTCCCCTCTTAAAAACGGTCAGGTAATTTTTCCCATTGCTTTTACAGTAAATATGCCTTATGATTGTATACATACATAAAAATATTTTTTAAAAAAATAGTAGTTGCATACGATTTTTCCCCCACGAATCGATAAATCCCAAAAAGTCTGGGGTTCTCCCCCGGGAAAATTTTGATTCCTAGAAGGCGGAAATTAGTTTTCCCGACTTTTGAGGTGTCTTTTAATTACTTTTAAGTTCTTCAAAATTCAAGATTTTCCCCTCTTGAAAACGGTCAGGTAAATTTTCCTTATTGTTATTACAGTAGATAGGCCTGTGCTTTATGTGTGCGTACATGCATAAAACAAAATTAAGTAGTTGCATACGATTTTTTTTTTCATGAGTCGATAAATCCTCAAAAAAGGGGGGTCCGTGTTTTCTCCCCCGGGAAAATTTTTATTCCTAGAAGGCGGGAAATGAGCTTCCCGACTTCTAAGTTGTCTTTTAATTACTTTTAAGTTCTTCAAAATTCAAGGTTTCCTCTCTTGACAACGGTCAGGTAATTTTTTCCACTTGTTGTTACAGTAAATAGGCGTTATGTGTGTATACATAGGCCTATATAAAAAAAATTGAGTGGTTGCATACGAATTTTTTTTTTCATGAATCGATAAATCCTAAAATGAAAGGGGGTCCGGGGTTCTCCCTCGGGAAACTTTTGATTCCTAGATGGCGAGAAATGAGCTTTTTCAACTTCTGATGTGTCTTAATTACTGTTAAGTTCTTCAAAATTCAAGGTTTTCCCCTCTTGGAAACGGTCAGGTAATTTTTTCCCAATGCTTTTACAGTAAAAATAGGCCTTATGTGTGTATACATACATAAAAAAAAAATGAGTAGTTGCATACGATTCTGTCCATGAATCGATAAATCCCAAAAAGAAAGGGGGTATGGGCTGGGGGTTCTCCCCCGGAAAATTTTGATTCATAGAAGGCGGAAATTAAATTAGTTTTCCTGACTTTTGAGGTGTCTTGTAGTTACTTTTAAGTTCTTAAAAATTCAAGGTTTTCCCCTCTTTTTATAATGGATCCAAAGAGAAAAGAGAGGTTCGGGTTCTCCCCGGGAAAATGTTGATTTTAAATGGTGGGAAATAAGCTTTTCCAGACTTCTGAAGTATCCTTTAGCGAC